ACCACTCTAGCCCTTGAGAGAGCTAAGGAAAAAAGTTCAAGGGTCAGAAGTAAAAAATTGTCCTTAACTCCACATGGCACTTCTGATCTTCATAATTATAGATGTCTTTGGGTAAAAAGGAACATTAGTCAGGTAGGCAAATGATTGGTCGACTATTTTGAGTAGAAGGGATAAAGAGGTGCCCAAAGGAGGGCATACAGCACAGTTCAGATCTACCATTATTTGGTGGAATGAGAAGCTACAATAGAGGGTTAGGAATTACAATAGAGTATCCAATCTCAGATCAGCATAGGAAAAGAGCAAATGATTATTTCTATAGGCAGACAGCCTAAGACCTTATAAGTGAGGCAATTTTGACTATTCTGATGAATGAGCAAGAAAGAATTAAAAAAAAAATCACTTGTTGGTTACTGCTATATGATAATGACATTCAATTAAATTTAATATTCCAGTAGTAAAGTGAAAGCTAGTTCAAGGATACAGTTTGTGGCATGAATTGTAGTGATTTCACGGGTATATGTTCACCCCCAGGGACACCAAACTGTGTATACTGAATGTATACAGTTTTTTGTATGTAAATGATACCTGAAATATTTTTAAATATTTTAAAAATAAAATTATTACTTGGCTTTAACCGAGTATGAAACAGTTTTTCTCCCCTGAGGAATGGGAAGAGCTAAGATGAGCAAAGAGCCCACAGGTTTTATAAAAATTTCAATGCAAGACCAATATACAAAAGAGTACTAAGAGTTCCTATTACTAAATTTTGGACAAAGGCAATCCATCAATAAAACAATAGAAGCAATGACATAATCTTGCATGGTTATTAGAAAGATAATGCCATAGTAGAAAAAGAATAGCCCAGGGGATAAACATATGGAGCACTTGGGAAAAACCAGAAATACTCATTCAATATCTCACTTAAAAGACAGACATTTAGCTTTTGATCCACTCCTCATCTGTCTAATGCCTGGTACAGAGTATATGGACCAATAAATATTTACTAAGGGGCATGAGGAAAGATTCCTAAGCCACTGCTTGATTTTGATTTATCAAATTCAAAAATCAGAGAGCAAAAGAAACAAAGGTAGTTTAAAAGGTAGTGGTATACTGAATGACTCTACCAGTTTTTCAATTAGGGAAGATTTTAGGCAAACAGATACTCCCATTTTCGAGAAATATGTGACATGTTAGATCAATCAGTTTGAAAAGCACAAGGTACCTTATCCCATCCACGTGCATACATGTATGTTATATGTATGTGCATATTTTTATTGGTTACTAGTCAGTAGTACCAATTCTAATTAGCTAGAGAGCACCAGAGGCTAAGAAATTAAGAGTTTCATCAAATGGTTTTTGTGATGTAACAGATCAAGCTATTTAACTGGCTATTTTTAAATTACACATAATTAGACATATTTATTGGATACAATGTGCTAAATGAACACACACATATATACACTCTCCCCCTTTATATGTGCATCTATACTAAATTTAGAATTTCAGTAGAATGAAAACCATTTTAAAGATATACCTTGTGTCATGAATTATTCAATTGTCATATTGTGCACTTCATGTATATAAAACATATAAACATCATACTTTCCATCTAACTGTAAAAGTCTAACCACTGACTCACCTCTCTCTTCATCTGTTCTCTCCACTACCTTTCCTAGTAACTAACATTCTATTCTCTAATTCTATGAGAATAGCTTTTGATGACTCCATATGAATGAGGTCATAATGGTAAAATATATTACTACAAACTGTGTTTCTAGGAGGTTTACTGTATTACTACTGTAAATAATAGCCATTGGATATTTAAAAGAGTACATGAATAACTTAAATTATTATTGAGCATTCCTTAAAAGCAAGCTAGAAACTTAGTTTTTCACAGATGATCTCCTGGCAGCCATCCCGGTGACAAACATTTTTTAATATATAATTTATTCTATTTTATTTTTTAAAAAGAAAACAAACTATCTTTTTTCATTTTGCACACCAATCCCAGTTCCCACTCCCTCCCTTCCTTCCATTCCCTCCACCTATCTCCACCCCCATCTATGTATGGTCTTACAGTATCATAATTACTTTATAGATATACATGCATCATCATCTTTAGTAGTGAAAATCCTTTCTTATCACTAAAATTCTCCAGATCTTTAAAATTTTTGCTTTATTTGAGAGTTTTCTAGCGTGTCCACCTTCTTTCTATTCTTCTACAGTGTTCTTTTGTCTCCTGATAATGCAACTGGAGAATGAGAATCAAAAACAATGGCTTTTTAAATGCACTGGAAAATGCTAGGGAGCCACATTGTTTGCTCTACCTGGTAAACTTAATAAAGTGAAGAAAACGCTTTCAAAGATAGATATTTACAGTAGCAAATGTCAGTGCAGACAAACTTGCCTGCTATATCAACCATTCCACTTAAATTGATAAAGTGTGGTGTTTATTCATTGTGCAGTTACACTGAACAGAATCTCTCCTCTTGCTCTCATTCTTTGTAGGGTGACATTCCCTTTATCTAGGAGCTTATAATAAGCAAGCTATATTCAATTTTCAAAAGGCAGATGCGCTCTCCTGGTATCCTAGAAACAAATCAAAGTACGCTTTGTGGAAAGACCTGCGGTTCAAGCCAGTGATGCAAATGGTTATTAATTTTGCTATCACACAAACAGAGGTCCAGAGAATTTTAAGTAAAATTTATTCTGAGGACAAGTATCAAATTATTAGTAAGGGGGCTATTAAAAAAGATAACAGAGCAGTCCATAGGAAAAGTAGGTACTACAGAAATTAAACAAAATCATACATTATCTCTGTATTATTGAGATCAGGATTCATTTTAAAGACTTCTTTTTTTCCAAATTAGAGTGGTAAATTTCACTTAAAATTACACAGATTAGCTCAATTACGAGAGATCTACAAAAGTAACTTCCTAAATCATATGAGGAGCATATCAACCGTCTCAGTATTAGATTTTTATGCACATAATAGTTACAGAAATTAATCTATATTAACTTATTATATCACAACAGCTACCATTAAATATTATGAGGTAGGAAAATTCTAATTGTTCCCTGGGGGTCTTCTATGTAAAACTTATATAATTCACACACTTTGGGACTTGTACCATGATAAAGTGGAAAAATAGTAGAAAATATTTCTTTTGTTTATTCCCATGTAGTCACATTTTCGGGGTTCACAAACATGTCTACTTTTCTGTGATTCCCAGTATCTTCCCACACACATATTCAGTAAGGAGGAATTGTGATCCTTCAGTACATAGAAGCCCAGAAAAGTTCAACAAGTACTTTGACCATGTAAAGTATGACTGAAGGTTAAGTGCTCTCCAAAGAGCTCATTGGTTACATGAGGAATAATTGATGAACATAATTATCCACACTGAGTTAAAAGGCTAACATATCTGGCAAACTGATGGTGATTAAGATTACCTTAATCTGTCTAGATATTCTCGAAACAAGAGTATCATAAGGAAAAGCATCAAGTACTCAACAGCCTCCTGTGGTTGGACTTAGGTAAACGGATATGCTAGCTAGAAGACCACATCAACATTCTGCTCCTTGACATCTAAATCTGTTTTGTAGTGAGATAAGCTTTACTGAGACCAGGTTGTTCCACTCCCATATTTTCAGTGCATCTAAATACTACAGACAACTTTCAACTTTCAGGGACAGTCACTGATGGATGGGTAACAAAGGAAGCACAGTCCTTTCAAATTGGTCTTGCTAATGGCTAAAAGGAAGCAAGATAGGTAGAATTTGAATGAGAAACCACTGAGTTAATCTGGAGATGTGAAGAACTATAACAGAGAGGGGACAGTTTTCAATTTCCACGGAGAAGTGCCAGACTAAAACACAAATTTATATTTTAAGGTGTCAGGGCAAGATTAATTTTCAAAAGCATAATATGAATAGATGGAGTTTAATTATGTTTTTGAATGTCAAGCTCATAGAAAATAGGAAACAATGGAGAAATAGTAACCACAGGACAGAAGGGCAACAATTCAAATCAATGCACCATGTTACCTACTAGATTGAACACTGAAATAGAAAGAGCACATTAATGGAAAACCTAATGAAATCCGAATAAAACTTTGAGTTTATATAATACTCTTTGGATACCAGCTTCTTGGTTCTGATACATCTATAATGGCAACATAAGATATTAACCATATATGAGGAGAATACAGTCCAGTAGTATTGTGCTTGTATAGCATGCACAAGGCCTTAGATTTCATTACCTTCACTGTTGAAAATCAAAGTGTAAGGTTCAATGTACAGCTCAGTAGTAGAGCTGCTGCCTACCATGTTCAAATCACTGACTTCAATCTCTAGCACCTCACAAAAAATAAGAAAGAAATAAGCCTGGGTAAGAAATAAAATGGGAGTTCCCTGTTATGCTTTTGAAATTTTTCTAAATCTAAAATTATTTTAAAAGAGAATTTATTTAAAAGTAATCACAAAACTAAGCATTGTGGCACATCTTTATAAATCCTAGTGTTTGAGAGACTGAGGCAGGAGGATCCTATGTTTGAACCATAGTGAAACTTCACCTCACAATTAACAACAAAGCCACAAATAACAAAGTTACCAAATAAAAGAAATTTGTTTGAATTAATGTCCCACAAGTCAAATGTTTCAGTGTAATATTTCCTCATTTTACAATTCCCCCTTTCTTTAAATCTACTTTTAGAAACTCAAACCCTCTATAAATGCAACCAAGTTTTTAATCCAACACACCCGATTGCTTCCTTCATATGAACAGCTCTGAACTGGCAATTAGCACACAAGCATTGCCATAAATCTTGTAGTACTTAACTTCCCAGAGGCCCTGCAGAGCTATTCCAATGTAAGCATACGTGCTTTGCCAATAGATATGGAGCTGGTGAGCAGCAGCACCCAGCATTAGAAAACAGTCATACAGCAACCAGAAACCCCCACATATACTGGCAGTTTGCAAAGACTCTGCCGCAACTTACGAGAGATGACATCTGAGCATTCTGGAGCATAAGCTGCATCTGCTGGGCGAACATGGCTGCGACAGTCCTCTGTTGAATCAGATTGTTTCTCCCATTAATTTCCAGCTGCGACTTTAAATGGGGTGGAGGGTGTAGGTACTTGCAGTTGTCTCGAGTGCACCGACCCTTATAGAAAAAATTTAGACAAATTTTTGTTAGTATTTCTGAAATTCTGACATGACTAAAGAACTCTGAGAAGCCACAGCCACAAGCACTATCCACGAAGTCACTCATTTCCTTTTTCCTTCCTGTCCTGCAAAACTGATACTCTTAAATCTTCATCTCGCAGCAAAAGAAACTGAGACTAGGAGAAATGAAATGACTTGCCTATGGAGGACACATACATAGCTGCTAAAAAATGAACTGGAATGAAAATTTAGTTGGTCTGATTCCATAACTCTCTTAGTTGCTCTGTTTTGCTTTACTTTGATATGCGTCATATCATATTTAGAACATAAAGTATTAGGAAAGGTATGTCATAAAATGTAAGTAGAAATTAAAAAGTTAAATAAAAATCTTTCAGTAAGAGATATAAAATCTTTTGTTTAAGACTTGGGATCTGGATCCATATGTAAAACTAATTAAGAAAATTCAGGGAGGATATTTAAGTATTAGGCACAAGTATATAAATTCTGGACTTTAGTGCCTCGGACATTCTAGGCTCCAAAGCTTTTTATTTCCTCAAAGCCTTATGATATAAAAAATATCCTTGAATCCAATGAAGTTTTGATAATCTGAGAATAAATCTGTATATCTGGTGTCACATTGCTCTTCAGGTTCTAGTAGCAATGTCCTTAGGTCATTGAGATACTTGAAGCTAAAGTATATCTTGGATTCAATTTTTTATTCATAGACTAAGCACTTTCAAGAGAGGCTAGTATCTGAATTCCATTGAACCATTCATAGTGGTTTATGTCTTCAATCCCAGCATTGTGAAGACAGGGGCAGCAGGACAGCCATGAATTTGAGGCTAACTTAGGCTACAGAGTGGGGCCCATTTCAAAAAAGCAAATGCAAAATCCCCACACGCCTTTGATGTCACTTAAATGCTGACTCAGCTGCCGATTATGCGGTAGCAAAGTGTCACTCGACAAGTTGTTTATTACAATGTCTTAATACGACCTATCACTGTATTTAACTATGACCTTTACATGAAGCAACTAACAACTGCCCTGTTTGGATTACTAAATCCGCCATATGTCTTTTAAGATAAGCGCAACTGCAAGGAAAACATTTTTCCCACAGATGTTGATTCTTTACAGTGCATGAAGTTATCTGAGGAGGAAGACGAAGGGAGGAAAAAAAGGAACCTTTTCCTTTTGGACTGAAGAATGCAAGTTGCTAGACCACTTGAATTCCCAGGAGAAAAATGAATTAGTTCACCAAGAGTTGTTGTTCAATACATCCTATGCATTTTACTTATTTGGGATACCTAATTGGTATATGCATTTACTTACTCATATTTCAGTATCTTTCTATGAAGACATTTCTACAATTTCACTGAGAAACATGGTGTATTTCAAAATGTTTACCGAGCTACATATAATACAAACTTGAATGCACTGTAGCTGCTCTTTCTTGAAGAGTCCTCATTAATTCATATATATATATATATTTGAATGGTATTGAACATATTTATGCTAGAGTATAACCTAAAACCTAATGTGAAAAATTGGAAGTAAATTTATTGCTTTCTATCATTTTTCCTTTTGTTTCTTCCACTGGTAAACTTGTTTTTAACCAAATTAAATTAACTTATAAAATCTAATAATACCCTGACTTCAAATATATCTTTACATTTTATTGCTAAATATTGGAAAATGAAGAAATTATACATACTAAGAGTTGGAAATGTTATTAAGATGATTTGCCTAAGTTCATACAAGTAACTTAGGAAAAGCTCTACAACTTCCACACATATGCGGACTGTAAGGAAATTTTCACCTACACTGAAAATCACAATCTCAGGGGTCTTTCCCCCCAAAAACCATAAACATCGTTTCACATCTACTGTACCTCTTTTAAAGGCTATGACAGTCACAGGGATTACAGTACTTAGACCCGTCACTCTCCAGCAACATAACTAAGGCTATCTGGCTCAAAATTCCAAAGCCTAGAAGATGCATAGCACTTGGTGACTTCCTTCATGGCATGGTGGTTTATACTTCTACTTCAGCCTTCCTGCTACTCTTTCCAGATCCCAGCAGCAAAGATTTCCCCAAAGCTAAATCCTTTTCTCTTCTCCCATCTCATTTTCCCAAAGAAATGGAATTGTTTCAAGTTGCAGGCAGCCCTGTAATTGTCCAGATCTTAAATCTCAATTTATCTCTGACCTCTCTCCTGAATTTCAGTCCTTTTCATGAGCAGCTGCAGCTGCATTTGGGGCTCTTGCCCTCTAACCAGGTGGAAATACCTTACTCCCGACCTTTGCCTATCTCTCATCTTGCTGCACACTCCCATTCGGGGACATTGCATCAATTCCTATGGTTTGGGGCAGTTACATAGCAGCAGTGAGGTAAAAAAAAATCAGGCAGCTGCTGAGCAGGATTGTCTTGGGTTGCAAAGCCTAGATAGCTTAAGACAATTAGTATTATGTAACTATGGAGTATGATTTGTAACCCCTCTGCAAAAGAGAAAAAAAAAACAACATCTTTTATATTCAGAATTTCAAACAATAGAATGCCTTTTAAAGGGAAAGAAAGGGGACTAGTTGGGATTTTAGCATTTGCTAAAAGTTGCAGAATCTTCCTGTAATGAAAGAAAGAAAGAACAAAGGAAGGAAGGAAGTACACTGTATCTGGCACATTTTCTGCCAACCCAGAAAGAAAAAAAATTGATCATGCCTTTATGATTTTATATTAATGTCCATTCCAAATAGTAACTTTCCTTAAGCTTTCCCCCCAGAAACTAATGAGATTTTTTTACAAAGCAAAAAAAAAAAACAGTACACAGAAATAGAAAAATAGGGTGTAAAAGTTACATCAAGTTGGGCTATAAAACCAAAGCATGGGATATGATGTAGCATGAAATAAAAAAAAAGAAAACAAAAACTTATTCGTCTTAGGAGATTTTACTTGATTTATAAAGCATTCTTTTTTGAATGACAGAATCCATAATTTAATTCTGTAACAATGCAAATGCACAGGAATACTACCTTACCAGGGACTGCTACTTATGTTAAAAAAAATCTTATGAAATACAAAATCTACATTTTTCTAACAAAACAATACATGAGACCATGTAATTTAATATCTATCTTATCTATAATATCTATCTAATCTGTGGAATATACTGGTAGAAAGGAAACCAAGCCCCTCATAGAGTTTTCAAAACCTACTTCAGGATTCAGGGTAATATATTCATATGCAGATCATTTGGTGACAATAAACCTTTAGATAAGGTTCGTTGTTTTTTCAAGAATCCCAAATTAAGTTACAGATTTAAATATTGTAATTGACATGATGGGAGATATAAATGTAGATTATGACATTTGGTAACCCTTGTTTTTCATTCTTAGCAATAAAATGGCTTTGGTAAATCATGTATCTACAGGATAGGATGTGGATGGGGACTGTCTCAAAAGACTGTTGCAGTCCTTTGGAAAACAATGACTACAGATTACAAAGGTTCCTCCCATGATGTTCCTGGGACTACTAAGTATGAGTGGGCCATGTGACAAGCTTTCACAATTGATCCATAATAACCCAGTACCAATCGTGACTTTGAAAAATAACCCTCAAATTCCACAGCCAAGTCATGGTGGCCCAAGCCCTCTGTATTCTTCTCTAGACCCAGAGAGTCAGAGTTGCCATGTATTGGTAAGTATTAGACCATGTCCTGAAGTCATAAACATTAGGAGAAAACATTCTTTGGCCTAAGAGATTTTATCCTAAAAACAGCAGCTAAGGATGGCCAAGACATTTAAGTCGATCTTCCCCACCCCTTAGCCATACACAGTGACTTATTTTAAATAAAGGAGTTAGAGAGTGAGCTCATTTATGCTTGCCTCAATTTCCCTCTTTTCCCACTTTCTTTTCACCTTAAAAACATGTTATTCTCCCCTGGTTGTCATTATGTTATTAAGTTAAGCAACTAGCACAATGATTCAAGAAGTAGTTCTCTGCTGAAATAAGTGCTCCCACACTGATGAATCTTCCAGCTACCTCTTCCCCCACCTACTGCCTTAGAAAGTGCAAGCAAAAGCAGCAGGAAGAGGGGATGGCTGATGACATCTGTGAACCACATCCACATCAAGAAGTTGATAGCAGACAAAGGAGGAACTTGTGGAGCATTGTAAAACCTCCCAAATTCAATCTATTGCCTTTTCCCTACCTTCAGGCTTTTCACATGTGAATAGAAAGCCTTTAACCGAGAAAGAAAAGTAGCATTGTAATGATTCAAATCCTACCTAAGTCTGGGAGTTATGAGAGAGTCTGTCAGCTAAAAGAATACTATGCAGTTGGTAGAAAAAAAACCTATGAAAAGTACTTTTTATGTTCATGAGAATGTCCTGTCTTCTATCAAAATAAGAAAAGGACCCCAGGAAGCTGAAAACTACCCTCTGTCAGTTAGTGCATCTTTAACAAGAAAGCTGTTTACAGAATAACTTCCTTCTTCATATACATTTGGATTTGTGGGGGTAGGGATGAAAATAACCTCTCAAATACGATTATACCTGAATTACCTTTTCAAAGACATAATCTTATTGGTCTGCCAAACACAGCAGCTAAAAGTAAATGTCAAACACATCACATATATGATTTGTTCAAGAAGAAAAATAGTTATTCTGTTTTAACAATCATGTAGTAAAAGAAGGAAAAAGTCATGATCTATGATGTCTCACAATAACATCTGTGTGCTCACACACAGATATGGCTTCTCAGAGGATGTAGGAGTGAATATAGAATTTGCATTTCCCAGGCACTAGGATGTCAGCTTTCTGCAACCATCACAGACCTACTGAAATCTAGGAAATATCTGAAAAAAAACAAAAGGAGAGTCAACATCAACCCAAGCTGAGTGTTAGCCAACGATCAGCAATTAACAAATCCCCACTTTGTTTCTCTTGGAGTTCTGGTTTTCAGATAATAGGGAGAATCTGCGCAATTTTCCCTTCCCAATAGTTT